ATGAAAGTTTCATTTTTATCATTACATTATGGAAAATAATGACCTTTATCACAATATGCTAATTTTTTTTAGAAGGACCTGTATGTATACATACATAAATACACATCTAAGTATAAATATAAAAGAAAGCAGCAGAATAAGCTGAAATAGACAGAGATGAGTAGATTACAAAATTATTCTGAAACGAGCAAAAGGAGGCTTAAAGAGTATAAACTACAATTACTAGAAACACAAAGGTCGAAAAATTAAGAAGTTGCTGAAAAAGTATAAATACCAAAATTCAAAGCAGGAACGTCCTGAATTGCACATTTTTATTTATGAATTGTTGAAATGGCACAAAAAAATGCAGAACGAGTGACGTGCTGAAAAACAGAACAACAGTGTGAACATGGAGTGGTGGTGCAGAGGTTAGAGAAGGTGGGCCTGTGATCGGAAGGTCACCGGTTCATCTCCCTGGACGGAACATCAACATGTGGGTGGGAAAGGTGAAGCACCACCCTGCCCCCACCCTCATTTGCCCCATTCTGAGCCCTTGAGCAAGGCCCTTAACCCCCACCCTCTGCTCCCAAACAGGTCTCTGTTGAAAACGAGACTCAACAGCACTACCTGTATAAATAAAGGTAAATAATTCACACGATAAAATGCATTTATATTTATTTTCTAAGGATTAAATGGTTCAGATTAGTGTTTTACAAACATGAGAAAAATCCATCTGAAGGTAGAAGATAAAAGATGTATATTAAAATGAACCAGCTTCAGCAGCTCATACCAGTACGTTTATACCAGTATGTTTAAAATATACTAAGTCTAGGTAAATAAACAAACAACAGTATAAAATGGGTTCTACTACAGTGATTAACAGGAAAAATGTAATTCTATTCTTATGTTCAGCTGTTGTATAGGAAGCTACACAAACATGATGCCAGATTACAGATTTTGCTTCAAGAAATAAAAAGTTAAAAGTGAACAACTACTCACAAGCTGGAAGGAGCTAAATTGTGTCATTTCCTTTCCAAGCAATGCTTCATGCTGCCTCAGTCCCTGGGTGTCATTGGGGGGAAACCCAACAGCGCCCATTACTTCATCGGTTATGTTGGTAAGTCTTGTTTCACGTTGGTGGAATTAAAACTCAGCTGTGTACGATGAACCAGAACGTGTGTCGACCCCCCAGGAGAGGAGCTGATCTATCTAGACCCACACACCACACAGCCTGCAGTGGAGCCATGTGAAGACAGTCAGGTCCCAGACGAGTCGTACCATTGCCAGCACCCACCCTGCCGCATGCAGATCTGTGAACTGGACCCGTCCATCGCAGTGGTAGGACAGGCCCACTTTTATGACCCTAAGCTATGGACAGTGTTACACGAATAGCTCTGTTAGACTGAAGGGGGGTCCTGTGTAGTTTTTTTGAATGACCTCAGTCTGAAGAAACCCAGTATCACAGGACTGATGAACCAGTAGCTAGTCTAAACTCAGTGTCCAAAAATTCAGAGCAGTTCATGTAAATGCTGTTAAAGTAAACCATTACATGACTGTCCAGTGTTTCCACCATCATACAAGGAGGGCAACAGAACCGAGCACCCTGCCTACAGATCACACCCCCTGGTAGGTCGTGGGGGTCACTGGTGCCCCTATCCAGCAGTCACTGTGTGAGAGGTGGGGGACATCCTGGACAGGTCTCCAGTCCATCACAGGGACACAGAGACAAACAACCATTCACTCGCTCACTCACACCTAGAGACAGTTTAGAGTCACCAATCAGCCGAACATGCATGTTTTTGGTGTGTGGGAGGAAACCTGAGAAAACCCACTGAAGAGAACATGCAAACTCCACACAAGTCCTGTCCGGGGCCTTTCTGGGTGGAGTTTGCATGTTCTCTCCGAGCTTTAGTGTAACTGATGTTCCCGATTTGTGCAGGGTTTCTTCTGCAGAACAGAGGACGAGTTTGACGACTGGTGTATGCGCATAAGAAGGGTAAGTCTCTGCGCTGCTCTGGTCCGTCGTCTAAACGAAGCAGGTTTTCTTAAAATTATTATTAATTTATTTACACACATTTCTTCTAGCTGACCTGCAAGAAAGGAGGGCTGCCCATGTTTGAGTTAGTAGACAGTCAACCCGCCCACATGGTCAGCGTCGATGCACTTAACCTTACTCCTGGTAAATAAACAGCACCTTACTTTATTAATAATCTATAAACCCTGTTAATTAAAGTCGTTAAAATCTGTCACTTCCCTTGCAGATTTCTCGGACTCTGACAGACTGGAGCGGTTCTTTGATTCAGAAGATGAGGAGTTTGAGATCTTGTCGTTGTGAGGAATTTACTGAACTCTGATTTACGGTTCTCAGCAGTAAGTGGGAGAACTCCCAGCATCTTCTCTGAACCGGACAGCGAACCTAAAGGGGATGAACAATTGGAGACATTTGAAAGCGGTCCAGCTGCAGCGGGGCAGTCGGTGTGTTACACATCATTCTTCTCATCAGCCTCTGAATGCTCTTTGCATCCCAACATGGAGACTGCCCGATGGAAGCTGTAGCAGGAGCTCAGGATCAATTCTGAATGCACATCTTCACGTGCTCGTTTGTCCATTTGAGTCTTAACACTTTAAATGTTTATGCTGAAGTGGTATGGTGCCTTTCCCCAACAACCCCACAAGTGAAATTGCCATAATGGTTTTATGCTGAATAGACAATAAGGTTAATGGCGCCGATGGCTTACGCAATTTGTCACGACTAATATGTGAAGTTTCTAACAGCCTGTAAAGAATCAAAGTCAAATCTGAAGGCAAGTTTTATTAGTCTCTGATGCAAAGTATCCTTGCCAGGTTTAAATCGTGTACACTAGTTGAATAATATTTATTTAATCAAAACAACATAGACAAATCATGAAACAATACACATGTAAGAACTTTCCAAACTAAATAAAAACTGATTACTTGGCAACTGTACATGCGTTCTCTCTCTCTAACCAAACTAGAGGTAAGCTGTGCAAGGTGTGACGTGTACGTATGCGTTATATTGTCACTTCCTCTGAAGCGTCATCAGGCTGACTTCCAAAGCTCTCCAAGAGGTGTGTTCTCTGCTGCTTTAATGCACTTAAGGCTGTGAGTTTGGATGTTGTCGTGAACATCCTCAATACTCCGCGACGCATCAATTACCTGAAAACAGACACTTGTTAATTCATTTTGCATCCCTACAAAAACTGTCATTTTGAAGTGATGTCCTGTCACATTGTTATAAACATCAGTTATGGAGAATGGAATAATGAAAACAGAGGAAAAGTCCACCTCAAAGTCAGGCTAGTGACCGGCACATGTCTCGTTTTATAGCAGTTTTTAGATGAAGCTCTTCCTCTGAATTAAACTGCTATGAAACGGAGCTACATGAGCTAAAACTGGAGGTCGATTTACACTCTGCACAATGTTTGTTCTCATTGCATTTGTTCAACGAAAATTACACACGTCTCGCTGCCTCCGAGAACCGGTTCTGTGCACAGCATCCTGGCAGAATGTTTTTGTCACGGGTATGTATCAAGTATTGCGTTATTGGTCAAAACTTTGTGGACGCAAGTTTATTAAGCCTTTAGAATTTTCTATATTTCTACATAAATATGATCTAAGACATCAGATTTTCACACAAGTCCTAAAAGTAGATAAAGGGAATCCAGTTAAACAAATGAGAAAATATAATACTTGATCCAAAAAAGTTCAATCTGGTCCTCTGGACATTCAAAAAAACAAAAAAATATAGAAACGTTTCGTCTCTCATCCGAGAGACTTCCTCAGTCTGAGGAGCTGTTTTCAGCTCAGACTGAGGAAGTCTCTCGGATGAGACACAAAACGTTTCTATATTTTTTTTGCTTTGTTTTGTTTTCTTGAATGTCCAGAGGACCAGATTTAACTTTTTTGGATTTTTCTACCTGGATTATTGAGCATGAATCAGGATATAATACTTGATCATTTATTTACTGAGTAAAATGATCCAATATTACATATCTGTGATGGTAAAAGTATGTGAACCTCTAGGATTATCAGTTAGTTTGAAGGTGAAATTAGAGTCAGGTGTTTTCAATCAGTGGATGATGATCAGGTGTGAGTGGACACCCTGTGTGATTTAAAGAACAGGATCTATCAAAGTCTGATCTTGAGATAAACATATGAGGACGAGGTGCAGAACAGCTCCGCCACAGCTGCAGAGTACAGTTGTTTATAGACCGCTTTATGACGCAGGTGTGGAACAAGGCGGTTGGCATAAAACTGGTTTGTGACTGGACTGCTATGACGTCTCAAGGTGAGAGTGAAGGGGATGATGAGATGGAGTTAGGTGAGTGGACACAGGTGCGTGGAGGTAAAGTGTCAGGAAGAGAGAGAAATAGAAAGGAAGACACTTTGCAAAGTAATAAAAGGAGTCTAGAAGAAAACAGTTCAGAGGAAAACAATGTGGTTAGTAAGAGGGTTGTTAGGGAAGAATCCAAATTGATCATAAAGTTTAGAAAGGAGGATGAAGGAATTCAATTAAGTCCGTTAGTGCTGTCAAAAGAATTAAAGAGGAAGTTTGGAGAGCTGACACTTGCTAAAACTCTTAGAGACGGGAACCTGTTGATAACAGTGAGAAATGAAGAGCAGAAAAACAAAGTAATGAAAACTCAGAGTATCTGTAAAAAAGTAGTGAGTGAGATCAAGATTTTGGGAGAGACTAAGGAAGCTAGAGGAGTGATCACAGGTATTCCGGTGGGAGAAGATCTGGAGAAATTTAGACACAGCATTTATGGAGGTGAAGTCAGCAAAATTAGAAGATTGATGAGAACTGTTGAAGGTGAAAGAAAGGAAAGTGTGTCAGTGATGTTGGAGTTTCAAGCAGCTGTTCTCCCTGAAAGGATCAAAGTAGGATGTATGTGCTTCCCTGTTAGGCCGTACATCCCTCCTCCTCTCAGGTGTTATAAATGCCAGAGGTACGGACACGTCGCAGCAGCATGTAGGGGAAAACAAAGATGTCCAAAGTGTGGAGGGGAACATAGATATGAGGAGTGTAAAAATGGAAAGGATACTTGTTCTAACTGTGGAGGACAACACAGAGTCACTTATGGAGGCTGTGAAATCAGGAAAAGAGCAGTGGAAATCGAACAAGTCAAAGCCACTAATAATATAAGTTATGCAGAAGCTGTTCAGAGAGTGAAGAAGCCAAAAGAGGTGCCAGGTAAAGTTCAGCCAAAACCAACACCAGAACAAAGGCAGACTGGACCTGACACAGAACTGACAGTAGAAAAGATCATGTTGTTCATTGCATATGTTATTAATTGTACAGAGCAAGTAAAACACAAAACAGAAAAAATCAAAATAATTGTGAAAGGGGCAGAGAGGTTTTTTGGTATAAAGGATATATACTGGGAGCACATAAATAAGAGACTGGGAGCAGAAGGGAAAACAGGAGGACCAGAAGACAGAACAAACTGATCATCTTACAGTGGAACGCTAGAAGTCTAATATCAAATGGGCAGGAGTTTAAAGGATTTATCAAAGAATTCAAAGAAGATATAGATATTATATGCATTCAGGAAACTTGGCTTAAACCAAACCTTGATTTTGTTATAAATGGATATGAAAACATTAGAAGAGACAGAGAGGGAGGATCTGGAGGAGGGTGTATAACATTCATTAAACAGGGGATTCAATTTAGAGTTTTAGCTAAAGGAAGAGAGTTAGAATATATTGTTATTGAAATCTGGACAATAAATGGACAATTTAAAATAATAAATTTTTATAATCCATGTAAAAAACTTACATTAGACTTAATGGAGGAACTTGGGACATATTTAGAGGGTAAGGTGATTTAGTGTGGGGACTTTAATGGGCATAACTCATTATGGAGTAATCATAATGATCAAAATGGAGCTATAATAGAAGAAATAATGGATGCTACAAACTTGGTATGTTTGAATGATGGGAGTGGAACGAGAATTAATTTTAGAGATAATACAATGTCAGCAATTGATTTAACGTTAGTTTCAGATTCTCTAGCAGGTGTTTGTTTATGGCAAGTAATCAATAAAACAACTATAGGAAGTGATCATCACCCTATCATGACTGAAATAAAGTTACAAATAGAAAAATATTGTATAAATGGGATGGAAAAATGGTGTTTTAGATCTGCAGATTGGAAAACTTATCAGAATAGTAGTGAAATAAAAATGCAAAATGTAGATATAAGTGGTAGTATTGACAACTTTAATTCTTCTGTATGTAATGCTATCCTTGAAGCAGCCAATCAGGCTATAAGGAAGAAAGGAGGGAAAAGGGAAAGAAAGTTGGTACCATGGTGGACAACAGAATGTACTAAAGCAATTAAGAACCGAAATAAAGCTTTCAAATTATTAAAAAGAAATCATAACTTTCAGAATCTGAATGAGTACAAGAAACTGCAAGCAAATGTAAGAAGAACTTTTAAAACTGCAAAGAGAGATTATTGGAGAAGTTTTTGTAATTCAGTAGGGAGGGAGACAGACATTTCTAAGGTATGGACAATGATCAAAAGGATGAATGGGATTAAAAGAGTGAATGGATACCCAATACTAAATGATGGAGAGTTAACAGCAGTGAAAGACAGAGAAAAGGCAGAAATGTTGGTAAATACGTTCGTTAAAATTCATAGTTCTGAAAATATTAGTGAAGAAGGGAAAAAAGAAAGAGAAAATACAATTTTAGAAAACAAAGAGGTATTGGAGCAAATAGAAAACACAAATGATTCACTGAACATGCTGTTTACAATAACAGAGCTGAACAGGGCACTTAAAAAATATAAATTGTCAGCTCCAGGAAAAGATCAGGTTTGTTACGCGATGCTAAGTAATTTAAGTAGATCATCTAAAAATATTCTATTAGAATTATATAACAGAGTATGGGAGGATGGGGAAATTCCAAAAAGTTGGAAGGAAGCAGTGATTGTACCAATTAGAAAACCAGGGAAAGATGAGTCAAAACCAGAAAATTATAGACCTATAGCATTAACATCCAATATATGTAAAATAATGGAGAAAATGATAAATGAAAGATTAATATATTATATGGAAAATAAAGGACTTATGTCAAAGTATCAGAGTGGTTTTAGGAGAGGGAGAAGTACAATGGACCCAGTTTTATGTTTAGAGCATGAAATTAGAAAGGCTCAAGTGAATAAAGAGAGTGTTGTGGCAGTATTTTTTGATATAGAGCGAGCGTATGATATGATGTGGAGGGAAGGATTATTAATCAAAATTAGAAGAATGGGTATAAATGGTCATATGTTTAGATGGATTAAGACTTTTTTAGAAGGAAGACAAATACAAGTGAGAATAGGGAAGGATTATTCTGAGAGTTGTAATATAGAAAATGGGACACCACAGGGTAGTATAGTCAGTCCATTATTATTTTCAGTGATAGTTAATGATATGTATAAGGAAGTAGAGGGTGGAATGGGATTTTCACTTTTTGCTGATGATGGGGCAATGTGGAAAAGAGGAAGAAATCTAGAATTTATTATAAAGAAACTTCAGGGAGCAATTTCAGTTGTAGAAAAATGGTCGTATAAATGGGGAATAAAATTTTCTGTAGATAAAACTAAAATAATGTTTTTTACAAGGAAAAGAGTTGATGAGAAAATCAAGCTAAAATTATATGGTCAAGAGTTGGAAAGAGTTAAAGAATTTAAATTTCTCGGGTTGTGGTTTGATGAAAGAATGACATGGGGTATACACATTAAGAAAATAATAGATAAATGTAGGAAAGTGTTAAATATAATGAGGTGTTTAGCTGGAACTGAGTGGGGAGCTGATAGAAATTCATTGACAGCCATTTATACTGGATTAATCAGGTCAGTCTTGGACTATGGGTGCATATGTTACAACTCAGCAGCAGATACAAACCTCAATAAGTTAAATAATATCCAATACCAGGCACTAAGAATATGTACAGGTGCTTTTAAAACGTCTTCAACAGCAGCATTACAGGTTGAAATGGGAGAAATGCCTCTTAAATTTAGAAGGGAACAGCTATCTTTGAACTACTGGACAAATTTACAAGGACAAAGAAATGATCATCCAACATTAGAGGTGCTTAAATCAGGTTGGGACAAGGAACAAATCAAAAGCTTTGGGTGGATGATAAAAGTCAAAGTTAATGAAATCCATTTACATCGACTAGATATATGTCAGAAAGTTCCATTACCAACAACACCACCTTGGATACTCCCTGATGCTATAGTAGATTTTTCATTATTAGAAAAGAAAAACAAGAATAAATCTTTTATTATGGATAAATATACAGTACAGGAATACATTAACCAGTATTATAATTATGTACATATATACACAGACGCATCAAAAAATACAACTAATATAATTGGGATCGCATTCATAGTACCACAATTTCATATTAAAGTAGGAAAAAGGGTTAGTGATGGAGTATCAGTTTATACAGGAGAAATGCTCGCTTTACTTTTAGCAGTTCAGTGGGTAGAAGAGGTAAGACCATTAAAATCAATCATCTGCTCAGATTCTAGTTCATCATTGTCCACTTTGCAACACAACCAGTCAGATAGTAGACCAGATATATTAATTGAAATACAACAAACACTCTATAGGATCAACATGATGGGGATTACAGTAAATTTTATACTGGTTCCAGCTCATCACGGGGTTTTGGGGAATGAAAAGGCAGACAGGATGGCTAAGGAGAGCACTGGTCGGGACGTGGTTGATATTAATGTTGGGTTTAGTATAACAGAAATAAAGGGTATAATAAAACAAAAAATGAAAGAAAAGTGGCAAAAATTATGGGAGGAAGAAAGGAAAGGCCGGTGGTTTTATAAAATCCAAAGGAAAATTGGAGAAAGGAGAAGAACTGAAAGAAACAGGAGAGAAGAAACGATTATTTCACGACTCAGAATTGGGCACACTGGACTGAACAGCACATTATGTTTAATAGGGAAACATCAGACAGGGACATGTGAGTGTGGAGAAGAGGAAACCATAGAACACATTATATTGCATTGCAGGAGATACCAGGTTCAAAGAAACAAGTTGATTAGACATCTTAGTAAAATGAAAATGAAATTAGACATTATTGATTTATTGCAGAAAGATTCAGGAAACAGAGGCTATCAAGCTATATTTTATTATTTAAAACGGTGTAGGTTGTATGATAAGATCTAAAAGGAAAGAGAGGGTTTAGTATTATTATTATTATTATTTTTTTTTTTATTTATTTATTTATTTTTTTGTCATGCGGTCCACACTCCTTACCAGTTGGTGGCGGTAATGCTTCCTTCAGTTGTTTGCCAACCGCCAATAAAACAAGAAGAAGAAGAAGTCTGATCTTCACAACATGTTTGTGGAAGTGGATCATGGAGGCACAAAGGAGATTTCTGAGGAGCTCAGAAAAAGAGTTGTTGATGCTCATCAGGCTGGAAGATGTTACAAAACATCTGTAGAGTTTGGACTCCATCAATCCACAGTCAGACAGATTGTGAACAAATGGAGGAAATTCAGGACCATTGTTCTCCTCCCCAGGAGTGGAGGACCAACAAAGATCACTCCAAGAACAAGGTGTGTAATAGTCAGCGAGGTCACAAAGGAGCCCAGGGTAACTTCTAACACCTGAAGGTCTCTCACATTGACTGATGTTGATGTTCATGAGTCCACCATCAGGAGAACACTGATCAATAAAAAAATTGTTGGAACGTTTCGTCTTTTATCCAAAAGACTGTCAGTCTAAGGAGCTACAATAAACAAATAGCACCTTCTCAGAGTGGATCAACCAGTTTGCTGCTGACATCCAGAACTAGCTGTTCATATGATCAAGGAGGACCAACAGAGCACTAACGATCCATGGTTAGTGCTCTGATGGCTGTTTACTATTCACAGGAGGCTGAGTGATACTAGCAATAACAGCATTGTAAGAGGGGGACAGGTGAACACGGAGGCCTCTGCCCCGTTTAATGGGAGTTTTGTTTTTCTTTTCACAAAGATGGCTTCCTTTACTCCTCACAGACCATCATTCCTCTCTATCCAGGATGTGAACATCTTCATCCCTGAAAGAGTGACTGCTGGCCTGGAGATGAGTGTGGACTG